TTGGTAGTGATTGTTTTTTCTGCAGTCCTAATTACTCTCTGAAGTCTGTGTCTGTCCTGTTAGGTTGCAGAACCAAATGAGACAGTTATAGAGGTACAGATTATAGACTCAATGATTCTCTGTAGAACTGTATCAGCAGCTCCTTGGGCTGTTTGAGCTTTCTGAGTTGGCGCGGAAAGAACATTCTTTGTTGTGCTTTTTTGATGACATTTTTGATGTTAGGTGTCCATTTTAGGTCATGTGATATAGTAGAACCTAGAAATTTGAAGGTCTCTACTGTTGATACAGTGTTGTCTAGTATTGTAAGAGGTGGTAGTATGGGAGGGTTTCTTCTAAAGTCTACCACCATTTCTACAGTTTTGAATGTGTTCAGTTCCGGTTACACCACGAGGCAAGTTGTATAACCTCCTGTCTGTATGCAGATTCATCGTTGAATTGAATGAGACCAATCATTGTGTCATTAGCAAACTTCAGTATTTTAACAGATGGGTCATTTGAGATGCAGTCATTGGTATATAGGGAGAAGAGAAGTGGAGAAAGCACACAGCCTTGGGGAGGGCTGTGCTGATTGTATAGGTATCGGATGTGATTTTACCTAGTTTCATCTGCTGCTTCCTGTCTGTTAGGAAGCTTATGATACACTTACAAGTATGTTCAGGTACCGCTAGTTGGTTTAATTTACTTAAGAAGAGTGTCTGGAATCATGGTATTGAATGCTGAACTGAAGTCTACAAAGAGGACCTTTGCGTAGGTATTTGGAGATTCAAGGTGTTGTAGGATGTAATGCAGAGTCTTGTTAACAGCATCATCTGTCGATCTGTATTTGCTCAGTATGCAAACTGCATGGGATCTATCAGCGGATCCGTGATGGTTTTCAGGTGGGACAGCACAAGCCTTTCAAAGATTTTCATAACTACAGATGTTAGAGCAACTGGTCTGTAGTCATTCAGTTCCTTGATGGAGGGCTTTTTTGGCACTGGGATGATAGTAGAATGTACTATAGTGTTTGAAGCAGGAAGGAGAGTTGAAGCCAGCAGATGCCCATTAGACAGTTACTTTTAATTAGTCTGATTCACTTACATATTTCTGGGTGCTTTCTGAAGTACTTTACATTTCAATGATTGCTATGTGTGCTTAGCTCTCTTCCTATGACTAAAAAGACTTGCTTGTCATCCAAAGTGACTGGGAACCTCAGATCTAAGGTGGAGCCTTGGAATGGTGCTGGCCTAATGAAAGCTACTCAGTGTCAAAAGTGAGCATACTCTGGCCTCACTTCCAATCTCTGATGTCTTGCTCACAGCAGAAATACGAGGGCTATCCACAAAATAGATTACATTTTTGTCTGTAGCAAGAAGGGGCGGAGCTAGCGTGGCCATCTTTGGTCTATGCATCCGCCACTCAGTCTGCATCTAGTCGTGCTAGTGGGAGGTTCGTTTCATTGCCCGTTATTTCACAGCAAACGTTTGAAATGTGTGCTGCAATTGAAAATCCCTCGAGTTGTGAGGTGCGATCAGTGATAAGGTTTTTGTTGGCAAAAAACCATAATCCAATTGAAATTTTTCGGCAACTGTGTGAAGTGTACAGGGACAACATCATCACTGAAGGTGGAGTGCGCCAATGGTGCATTAAGTTTAAAAATGGCCGAACTACGGCACTCGAGAAGTCCTGAATGCTTTCAAGTGGGAGATTTTTCCTCATCCGCCCTACAGCCACGATCTTGCACCAAGCGACTACCACTTGTTTCCGAGGATGAAGACCTGGCTTGGAACACAGCGCTTTGATGCCTGAGATTTGAGCCAGTCAGTCATGCCCGCCCGCAGTTCCACGTCATCGTCAAAGCGCTGTGTTCCAAGCCAGAAACCTCTGGCAGAGGTACATATTGTTTAAGTTAGCTCAACTTTGGAACAAACATCTTACAGGAAACCCTCTAGACTAAAATTTACAAATGTTCTGGCTAAAGTCAACAATAATGTCAACAATAGTAAGAAATACTCTAGGCGTTTGTTGGATAAAGTCTCTTGTCTTTGTTTGGAGCGGACTTTGGCTAAGCAGTTCCGGTTGAAATGGCTGAGTCACCTCCTAGATTGGTTATCTGGGAGGAGTTTGAGCTGATCAATTTTGAACAAGTGGACAGAGGCTCTACTGCTGTGAGTTCTGCCACCTGGTGTTTGAACTCGTGCCCTTCTGCAAACCTTGAAACAGGTGGTGGTTCACCCCTTCCTCAGGAGGCCATCCTTGGACCCTATGGTTTTAGATAACTTTTGTCCAATTCCAACCTTCCCCTTTTAAGGAAGGTTGCAGAGAAGGAGGTGGGCTTGGATGAGGTGGTTTACCTATACCCTTTTCAGTTAGGATTCAGGCTGAGCTATAGTATAGATACTGTATTGGTTGCACTTGTGGATGACCTTTGGAGGACTTGGGATAGGGGTGGCATATCCATCCTAGCACCTGTGGAACTGCCAGCAGATTTTGATACCATTGATCTAGTAGTTTGCTGACCACCTCTGGGGGTAGGAGTGGGGGCACTGTTTTGCTGTGATTTTCCCTCTTTTTTCCTGATTGATATTGATCAGTGCTAGTGGGGAAGAAGAGTTCCAGCCTTAGGCCCCTTTGTGGAGCTGCTTCAGGACAAGTCTCTCTTCCTTCTATGTAATAGCTATTTGAAGCTACTGAGAGAGGTCATCCACTTGCATGGGACTTGGTGTCATCAGTACGGTAAGCAGTTGGGAAGAAGGTCTATATGAACTCGCAACTCCTGCTGGAAAATAGGTACCATAGCAGTCATGGCCAGAGGGCCTCTTGCACAAATCCATCTTGTGTCAATTGCATCCATGACAAAGAAATCAAATATCAAATAATTACATTACACATAGTTTATATTGTTTTCTGAGTAGTTTTTTAGAAACTACAGTTTTAGATGTAATAAAAGCTATTTAGGTATTACATATTGTCACACTGAGCCACAAAGAACTATCTTGTGTTGATACCTTATCTCCACTTGGCAAAGGGCAATAAATGGTAACTGAAAATAGAAGAAAGGCATATTCTTGAGTTTCCCCCATATTAACAGTTTTTTATAACATAAGATCATACATGTAGAGAATCCTAAAAGTAGAGACAACTCCTATAGTTCAGAATCCTCGCCCTAACTCTGATAGTAGTATATTGTATAGTTCGTCATTGTCTTTGATTTGCATTCAGATCTGACTAATATAAGCAGAAATGCAGCAACAATGTTTATGTAATTCATTTACAGCATTGCTTGGAAAAGCAATTAAAACATCTCAATGTATTTACTTTGATTAAAAATTAACTGGAGGTATAAAAAATAAGGTGGCCAAGTCTGTAAGGCATTCCTTAATATTTTGGTGCAGTATAGTGCAAAGAGGAAAGCTTACTAGTATTTAAGTAGGATCTCTCCATTCTGCATAATTATAAGTAAAGATAATCCTTGAGTATATTAATGTGTAAAATAATAAAGGCAGGACACGAAATAATAAAATGAGCACCTATAATTACCGTCTCTATGTCTAGCCAATACAAAATACTTGGAAAAAAAATACTTGAAAATAAAATTTTCTTGCGTTGTAGTTGATCAGCTGTAGGACACCATTTCAACCTGAAGACTCACTGCCAGCTACACCACTCAGCATTGAATAAGCTAAGTAAATGTGAATGGGGCAGTGTCCGTAGGGGCGCTGCTCCTTCCTCCATGCTCCTTCCTAAGATCTAAGGATTATAAGACATTCAAATAGCTGTTCATTTCCTCTCGTCTTCCATCCTGGGAAAATAGGAAGGCTGGAACATGAACGCCATGTTTCCTGCAGCAGGAAAAAGTTATCTCAACAAATAAATGCTCTGTCTTACATATTGACAAAACAAAAATCAGAAAATAAAATACAAGCTGAATAGTCAAGACCTTGTTTGATGATCCAAACTCTGTCAAGAACCTTGGAGTACTCATCTCTAATGATCTAAGTGCTAGAACCCACTGTAACTACATAGCCAAAAAGGCATTAAGAGTTGTTAACCTAATCCTACGTAGCTTTTTCTCCGGTAATATCACACTACTAACTAGAGCATACAAAACATTTGCTAGACCAATACTTGAATACAGCTCATCAGTCTGGAGCCCACATTACGTATCTGATATTAACACAGTAGAGAAAGTCCAGAAATATTTCACAAGAAGAGTTCTCCTGTACTTGTTGCAGAATACCTTATGCCATCAGATTTGAAATTCTAGATCTAGACAACCTAGAACTACGCCAACTTTGGTCCGATCTATGTATAGTATATAAAATTATACATTGCAGTGTCCTACCAGTCAATGAATACTTCAGCTTCAACCATAACAATACAAGAGCACACAATAGATACAAATTCAAGGTAAACCGCACCAAACTTGATTGCAGGAAATACGACTTCGGCAACAGAGTGGTCAATGTCTGGAATACTCTACCTGACTCTGGTTTCTTCCCCAAACACTTTAACCTTAGACCTACTTTTGACCTCACCCCTTTCCTAAGAGGTCTGTAGGGGGCGTGCATAAGCGCACCAACGTGCCTACCGTCCCTGTCCTATTGTTTCTTTTTATTTTTCTTATATGGATCTGTTCTGTCTTTTATAATTACTGGCTGAATGTATAAAGACAGACAGGCAAACTCTACAAAGTCTTCTAGCCATTTCATGTATTTATAACTATGTTTATACTTATACCTGTTATCTTATAATCACTTGACATAAATAAACAAACAAACAAACAAACAAATAAATAAATGCTGCGAACTCTGAAGCGCCGGGTTGGGGGAAGTGGGGAAACACAAATGCCAGGAAGGGAGATGGCTACCAGGGCTTCGGATGACACCATCTTCCTGCGTCTGCAAAGGGAGTGGGAGGGTGTGGTGAGGAGAAAAGCGGGCGGAGCAGCCAGGGAAGCGCTGGAATGTGGGCGGGGCGGCGAAGCGGCCGATGTGGCTTCCTATTTGCTGGCAGCCGCAGCGGCCGACTCCTCTGTCGGGGCTGAATCGGACCGTGGCAGGCGAAGCCCCTCTCCGGGGAGTCCCCGGTAAGTTATTTCGGGGGCTCGCCGAAGAAGCTGTCCGGAGTGATGGGGACGGGGAAGGGAGGCAAGACACGGAAATGAGTACGGAGGCTGGGGGTGGTGGTGGAGGAACCGAGAAGGAGGGGATCTCCCTCTTGATGCTGCACCGCAGGGTTGGCGGTGGGGCTCGCCTGGGCGGGGAGGAGTCGAGGGCTCGGAGCAAGAAGGAGAGGAAAATCATCGCCGAGCCCGGAGTAACTTTTGGAAGAGTGTAAGGAATTACATTTGTGTCTACAGCAGGAGGCAATCCTGTTTTCAATCAATTGACAATCTCATTTTTTTGTTCAATGCTTTGAAGTGGAGACCTTTCTTTGAAGTTTAGTATTTAGCATTAAAAGCATGAGACACACGATGTGGAAGTACTGAGCCTTCCGTGGGAAAAAAAGATTGTTGCAAGGTGTCTTTGATTTTCATCTTTTCTTAAAGAAATAAAGCAAGTCAACACTCATAATTTAATTAGGGTAGCAGTTTGAATGATTGAAATTTGGCTTATGTTTCCAAATGCAGGATTTTTTTTTATTGACAGTCTTTTTTTTCCAGGTGTCCCATCATGTTCTTTGCCTTATTGGAGAATTAAACAGACATCTTCTGTTATTGCTAACAAAAGTATCCCAGGATATCACAATTGGAAAGATGCAGAAGACCTAAAATTAAATGGGATTATACTGACATTTAATCAAGCCACAAGAATATTCCTTGGAGTATCCTGGAGTCATGTTTCTTATAATGTAAATTTGAAGAATTTTCCTTTGTTTTCTTGCATATTCTGTATCCATCAACAAGCTTAATTTTATTTGGAAGAAGGACAGATTTTCCAAAGTGCCATTAATGAAAAGGAAAGGGAAGATTGTCACACTTTACTATTCAAATTCTGCAGTGGTATCAGAGACTAATTCTGTTCCTCTTTGGTTGAGTCCATGAACTGAAGTCAGTAGTTTAAACTGAAACTGAGAATGTTTGGATCCTGATTAGGGGATACTTCCCAACCAAATAAGAGGGAGCGTAGGATGGCATCCAGGGAGAGGCTTTATGAACTTTGGATGCTCTACTGTAATAAGGTAAATTGTTTTTTTTTTAAGTTGTACATTAGTTGCAGTTGTTTTCTAGATGCTGAATAGCCAAGGCTTCAATGAAGATGCTGCATAATATAGTGATAAAGTGTTTTTCAGAGAGTATTTTCCAGTATCATGAATTAGCCACTGATAATTAAGTTCTGTTGCATAGATTATAATTGTTTCTGTTCATTCAGGTTGTAAAGTGTGAATGTAATCAATATGCTTTCCATAGACCTTGTATTAGCAGCAATTTCTTGTAGGTGCATTGGCAAACTTAGCCTTGTTTTTGCACAAATAATTTTTAGGCTTGGGAAAATTTGATGGGTGATGTTGAAAATGATTTAAACTGAAGAAATAGTGAGCTGCCTACTAACAAAATAATATATGAACATCAACATAATGTCTTTCTAGAAATTATCCTTAGTTTTGTTATGTGGTATATTTCTTGTATCTTCCTTGACTTTAGTTTTATAACCATTGCTATTTCTTCAACAGCTTTATTGTACAGAAAGTATGACATTTGCTCATTATTATGTAGCAAAAAGGAAGCTGTAGAATGCTTCTCTGAGCAAAGATTTGTTGTTGAATTTTTAGTTTTTGGTGCCTAAGCTGGCAAGCTTTTCAAATATAAATACCCTGTTGTTTGACAAAGCTTATGAGCAGGTACTTAATAACATAATGTTAAAAAAATTCTGAAACTGAACTACAGTTTAAGGTAGGGGTAATTTCTAACCTTTTTCCCATAAGAATGCTAATCACTTTTGTTTTCATGTGGTGCATTATTTTTACATACAAAGATTTCCTGATAATAACTTACTGGCTATCAGATAGGAAAGTTTGATTAAATACATATTTTATCCCTTTTTAAGATTGCTGTTTTATGGAAAAAAGTATCTGAAAAAGTTATCTGAGATCATCTCACTGGTAACTGCTCTGTGATGGGAGAAGAATAGCCCTTTGCAGAAGACAACCTAAATTTCATAGCTAAAACTCAGGATAGATAACTCTTCATGATCAATGCTCAGAGTCACCTGAACTGCAAGATGGGTGGCAAATAAATTTGATAAATAAACAAGATAGTAATTCCGGTGACAAAAAGCATCCAGTTTTTTTCAGAAGTTGCCTCTTGAGATGCAACAAAATACTGTGTAGTTCACCCTATCTGCTTTTACAATGCTAGTTGCAATGATTATGTGTGTGGTATATATCCAAGAGAATGGCAATGAACTGTAGCTTTTTAATGCAAGAATGGACATGAGCCAGTTCATTCTTATTGTATCTTTGTAGGTTGCAATATGTTCTAAGAACATTTTGAGCTATTAGAAAGCCAATTACTCTCTACTATTGCTGACTTCACATATTGATGTGGTTTGTTATTTGATTTGAAGCAGTTGTACATTTGCCCATTGTAGTTGATTAACTTGGTATAAGTTTTAGTTTATCTAATTCAACTTTCATGATTTATTCAGTTAATGATAGCTTTGCAACAATGCATGAAATTCTTTGGTTGCTATTCCACTGAATACTGTCATCTCCCTATATTATTATTAATTGAATTTCAGTTTCAAATAATAGTTAAATTCATAACCATTGCTGACGAGTATTGCTAAATCAGCCTCTGAATTTTCCTATTGAAGTGATCTCTTGTCTTGGCTCTACAAGTTTTATTGGATCTCAGATATTAGTTGAGTTTCATACTTTCTAACAATGCAAGGAATGATGTGAGAGCAGTTGCTTGAGGAAGGCTAAGTAAATACAAAGCTGATATTGAGGATAGGTTTATAGCATTGGAGAAACAATTCTATGAGTTTTTGTCATAAATAGTAGAAATACATATGTTTTTAATATCAAAACCTAAAATAAAATGCTTTCAAATCATGTGACTATCTTCTCCATCATGATAAACCAGCATTCTGAAGAATTCAGGCTTGCATGAATTTCTGTTGCCAGCAGGTATTGATTGAACAAACCAGAGCTCTCTCTGTTGGTTATTTACTGTGATACGTAAACTAAGATCCCAACTTGTATCTCAGGTAAGCTAGGAATTGGAAGCGAAGAACAAATTTTGAGTTTCTGTCTCTGAGCCAGTAATATGTTGAAATAAATCAATGATAGAGCTTCAATGGTTTGTTCCACTGCCCTCATTGGTAGGAGAAGCCAGAGAGGTGTACCTTGATGAACAGCAGCTATAACTCTGGAGAAATCTGGTTTACCATGACATGCTAGTGCAGGGCTGTCAAACTTCCGGCACACGGCCAGATGCATCACATGTTGGCCATGCCTGTGCCCAGTTTAGTGAGCATGTCCTGTGCCTCTAAACATTTATTAGCTGAAGCATTAATGGGACACAGTCACCTTTTCATTCCCTCTCAGATTTTTACTCCACTCTTCGTGTGCATTTCAAGACTTGGATCCATGATTATGGAATTGTATCATTGCCGTGAGGTCAGTTTGACACCCCTGTGCTACTGCATTCCATGGATTGTATAATAACTAAGTTAATATGGCTGCTAGATCTCATTTCCTATTATATGGCAACAAAGAGATACAGTAGAATATAGCACTTTTCTCCTGTTCTGTACTAATGCAGAGTTTTATAGCATAAACCTAAGACTCATTAATTTATTTTAAATACAATAAGCTATGAAGCCAAACAAAATTTTTAAGTACACAAGTCAATATAAAGGCTCTTGCCTAGTGCTAGAAAGATTTACCATGTCCCATAGAATAAATACCAGTATATAGCAGATAAAATTTGAGAGGTTTTCAGAATCTATTTCCACATTTTTTCAACTGAAATTATTAGAACTTTGACCAAATTTGAATATATTTCCTTTTTATATCAAATTGTAAGTGCATATTACATGAAGAATTTGATCCTTTTTAAGACGTTTCTTTAAACACCTTCGTATAATATCTTCCTGTTAAAAAGTAGATGAAGAAAATATCCTGCAGAAAAGACAGGAGGAAAAAATATTTTAAAGGTTGGCAGAAGTTCCTCTAGCCCAGTGTATCCTCTAGCCCAGTGAGAACATACTTTTTCTCACTTCAGCATGTTTTTGGATGATGCTATGAAAATAATATAAATCACTTATTGGGAAAAGGCTATCGAATCACTATTTGTTGCTGATAATTAAAATTCTTTTGACTAATGATTGAGAAAATACCTGACGTTACAGATTTATAAACAGAACCATTGATTGGTCTATATTGTAATTATCAGTTTAAAGATCATGAAAAATTCTAGTTCCTCATAGTCTTTTCCATTTATTGAATATCCACCAATTCAGTGGTCCCTGTTCCGTGTCACTACACATTTATTAGCTGAAGCATCAATGGGACACAGTCACCTTTTCATTCCCTCTCAGATTTTTATTCCACTCTTCATGTGCATTTCAAGACTTGGATCCATGATTATGGAATTGTTTCCCCATCTCCAGCTCTCTATATCTTTGGATACATTTAAGAAAGAGTTGAAAACTTGCTTATTAAATAAAGCCAGCTGATTGGTGGAGGTGGTTGTGAGCAGATCCTGAGAATGGCAATGAGAAAAGTTAAGTGACAGGACTGTTTTGTTGTAAATCTGATTAGTAAAGATAGACTTCAAGGATAAAATGCTTTCAAATCACATGACAATCTTCCCCATCATGATAAACAGCATGATAAAGCACTTTAAGATTATATAGTTGTATAAATGTTCTTTTTTATTATACCTATAAATATACTGTATAACAGTGTTGATTTCATTTCTTTTATGTAATTTTAATATTTGTTAATTTTATTTGTAAAATTTAGTGTTGGCCTTGAAACCAGAATGTTTGTGTTTAGATCAGTGGTAGGATTCAGATTTTTTTACTACCATTCTGTGGGCATGGCTTGGTGGGCATAGCAGGGGAAAGATACTGTAAAATCAGAGGTGGTATTTGCCGGTTCTCTGAACTACTCAAAATTTCTGCTACTGGTCAGAACCTGCTGAATACTATCTCTGGTTTGGGTGTAAATCAAATCTCAGGTTCTTGTTTTGCATCCAAGTAGATCAATAGGATGTTTGCTTTCCATTGTTGAGAGCCTTATTTAGTTCTCCATGTGAGTTAGTGAAGTGATTGGATTTTTATGTATTTGGAAAAACCATATGATGACTGTGTCATAATTTTAGAAAGCAGATTTTTTTTCTTGGAAACACTTTTCTTGAAAGTATTTAAAGAATACTTTTAAGTAAATAGATCTATTTCCTTATAAGCTATTGAATCGGCAACTTTAATGTCCTGAAACATTCCCAGAGTAATTTAAAAGCCTTTGTAGGCATAGGTCAATAGACAGCTGTTGTGCTACAAATACTTTTGTCGGTGAAATTTTCGTTAGAGCTTTGGTTAGAGCAAATGAGGTCCTTTGGCAAAAAAATTACGAGATATAATTCATCCTAATTTCATTTTAAGTCAGTGTATCTGGCAAAGAAGTGAGAGAACATTTCTTTGGGAAAGACTTAAGGGTGCTGCTGAATTCCACGTCCATAGAGCCATTGGCACAATCTGCTGCACATCATAAAACATTTTTTTACCAAAAATTTCATAAACCGATCTCTGCTCTAACTGGGTTTTAATTTTTTTTGCAGTATTTACTGTCATTTCTTTCTGCTGTATCTAATCCTTTTGCAAGGGGCAGGATAGGGAGAGAGAATTTTATCTGAAATTTAATCTGAAATATTTTAATCTGAAATCAAAACTATTTAGTCATTGGGAATTACTCTGAAACTTATGATGGATTTGAAGCCTTAACTGTTTTGGAAAGTGGAGCGTGTTATTGTTTATTTGATTCCAGTATTGACTTTGTCATGACCATATGCCAAATTTCTATATTAGATCATCCATTCATTTTTATAATTCTAATAAAATGAAATATTTGCTTCTCATGATAGTCGGAAGAGCTATTCACTTTCTAGCACTTTGGAATTATTCTTATTATTAATAGCTAGCTCTAGTGATGGCAATTACTTGACAATTTGG